CATCTGGTCTCCAGGCTCTATCTGTGGTAGGCAAAATAATGACTCCACAAAGATGTACACACCCTAATCCCCAGAACCTGTGATGATGTAGCCTTATGTGGCAAAGAGGACTCTGTAGGTATAGTTAAGTTAAAGGTCTTGAGATGGAGAGAGAATCCTGGATCTTCTGGGTGGCACCAATGTAATTACAAGGACCCTTAGAAGATGGAGGCTAGGAGATTCAGAGTTGGAGGAGGTGTGATGAGAAAATAAGAGGGGAGAGGGATGTAGGCCATGAGCTGAGGAATGCAAGCAGCCCCCAGAAGCTGAAAAGGCAAGGAAACATTATCCTCTAGAGTCTCAAGAAGGAATACAGCCCTGCTGAACCATTTTGGACTTCTGATCTCAAGAGCAGTAAGATAATAAATTTGTGCTGTTTTAAACCACTGCGTTTGTGGTAATGGGAAACAAATACCTCACCCCTTCTCTGTCCCTCACTCCAAGCCTCCGTTTAGGTGATCCAGTGATCTTTCAACTCTATTCCTTGCCCAAACTCAACTACAGTTTTGCTCAAACTTTCTGTCCTTAATCCTTTCCCAAACTGATTCCTCCACTTGTGCTCTGGAATTCATTCCCTAACTTCCTCAAGCATCTGATTCTAGCTAGTGTTTTGTTCCACATCTTCAATCTCTTCATTGTTACTGGATTGTTCTTTAGTTCTCCTTATTTTCTTTAAACTTGTACACTCATGCAGTCAGTTCCTAACCTTCTCTCCACACACAGTCCATGACGATGACCACCACTTCTCACCCCGCCCACAAAGACAGTGTCCTGGGGAGTCCCGGTTGCCAAATCTGAGGACATTTCCAATCTCCAGACTCATTTACTTCTCTGGATCTTGATCCTGTTGAGTCACTTTACACCCTTTGGAGACCACAACACAACTTCTCCCTGATTCTTCACGTTCTCCAATCTCTTTGGTCTCTTTTGGTCATTTATTCATTCCTGAATTCAACATTTTATTGAAATCCTACTATGCATCTGGCACTATGCTAGGGAGTATATATAAATATGCAGACACAGGCCGCTCAAGGAGTTTAGAGTGCACTTGGAAAGACAGACATGCAAAAATAATGATATACATTGTTCTAAGGGCAAAAGCAAAAATGTACACCAGGTGACATGGATGTTCCCAGTCTTCTGCCCAACCTCTAGTCTAGCTACTCAAAGTGTGGTCCCTGGAGCAGCAGGAGAAGCATCACCTGGGAACTTGTAAAAGGCAGGATCTGGGTACCCAGACCTACTGAATTGAAATTTCCATGAGTCTGCTCTCTAGTGTCCAAGACTCCCAGCCCCATCTCTACTTCCTCAAGATCCTTTGCCCCTCTGCTCCACTTGAAACAAAACCTCCCATTCTCCAAGGTCTGGCCTTGATGCCACTCCAGTTGTGAATCTTCATGTCACCTATTTCTTCTACCTAAGGCAGAATTCATTGCCACCCCTTCTGTTCATACCATTTGCAGAACACTTACCACTCTGTTTTATTCTGTTTGGTTTTATGAATGTTTATTGAGTGCTATCAGACACTATGCCAAGCTCTGGGATACAGGAGAAAAGAAGAAAGAGTTCCTTACCACAAGGCATTTGCAGCCTATTATAGTTAATAACGCATATGACCATTTTGCCTGTGTTTCCTTGAATAATTTGAATGTTGACTTCAAATGGTCCAGTATTCACCTAACGTTCACTGATTTTTCAAGTGGTGGGTATTGACATTATCAAGAAACGAAGCAGGACACAGCCATAAGTGATATGACCTGGAGTTGACCTTTAATCTTACTCGTACACATGTTTTGGTACCCTCCGTAATCCATTTCTACTTTCCTCTTCCAGGCAGCCTCTAGTCTCTATCTGAGTACCCTTGAGGGGTAGTAGAAGCGTCAGGGGTAGAGTGTGTGTCCTAAACAGAGACTATCAGGACTTTTGTTTGGATGTTGTTGTTGGTCGTGGAGGGGGTAGAAGAAGCCAGTGCCTAGAGAGCCCCTTGTACCTGTCTGAAGTCCACAGGTCAAAGCCTGCAGAAAATAGAAGCCAGAACCAGAAATCAAATCTGAGAAATAGAGGATAGGAAAATTGTTGTCTTCATATCATTTGAGCTGCATCTTAAGGATGTTTTTCCCCCATCACATTAGCTAATAAATTCCTTTCATTATTTAAGCCAGCATGGATTGGGTGTTCTGTTACTGATAATCACAATTATCCTAATTATTTTAATATTTTATTTGATTCCAAAAAAACAACTAACTTGCCCTCTAGAAAATGAGACTTTGCTCTCACTGTAGACTGATTTCCCCATGTGCAGGTCATTCCTTTGGCCCTGAGAAAGCATAGATTCCTGGGACTGCATGGCCACACCAAACTTCAATTAAGGTTGTTCTGCAATGACTGCAGATTTGTTTGTTCTTTCTTCTGTTTTTAGTTCTATACCGGTTAAAGTTAATTTTATGTGTCAATTTCACTGGGTCATCCAGTGCCCACATATTTGCCTGAACATTATTCTAGGTATGTTTGTGAGAGTATTTCCAGATCAGTCTGGCATTTAAATTGGTAGAATGAGTAAAGCAGATTGCCCTTCCCAATGCGGGTGGGCCTCATCTAAACTGCTGAGGGCCTGAATGTGACTGGTTGAACAGTGACATCGGTCCTCTCCTGCTCTTGAACTGTGACTTACACCATCAGCCATTGGGTTCTAAAGTTTTCAGATTTGGACCAAAACTTAAGCCCTTGGTTCTCCTGGTTCTCAGGCTTTTGGACTCAGGCTGGAACTACACCACTTGTTTTCCTGGGTCCTCAACTTACAAATGGCACTTTGTAAGGGGCATTTGTGGGACTTCTGGACTTCTCAGACTCATAATCGCATAAGCCAATTCCAATTGTTCATGATATATGTATCCTAATGGTTCTGTTTCTCTGGGGACCCATAACAGTACTCAACCTCTGCCATCACCTACCTCCTCACTTTCACAGTTATAGAAAAAGTGAATGAGTGCTTTCATCGAAGGATAGGTGTGTTTAGACACATGAGGAAGGAAGCCTGAAGCACACATCCTGCTCACAAACCCAGAAACATGCATGGTTATGTGGACCATCATGTATATGGTGTACTTTTTACCTCTGGTTGCTTTCTCTTTGCAGCTACATGTAAAAGCCGTAGAAGATGGTACTGTTCTGGTTGTTCCAGCTGAGACATCAAGGCCAGGAGTTCTGTCAGGTGTCTGTTAATTGGCTGAGGCTGCTTTTCATACACAGCAGGTAACACCCTCAACAACATGGCATTACCTGTTGAAAGAACAATACCAAGAATGATGACTATTAGCTCCCAATCAGTAGAAACACCATTAGTGTCACTTCAGTAAACTTTGCACTTATTCATTAAATGGCCAAGTCTTCTGCTAAAAATAACACAGTATCTTATCCTGAAAAATCACTAGAGCATGGCTTAAACTGATTCCATAAAAGGGAATATTTTATTTATTTATTATCTAATGAAAAATTTTCCTGAGTAATGCACCACGGGGAAAGAGGAAAATTTGACAGTAACCGGACCACACCCTTAAGAAGGAAACAGTTCTGATAAAGAATTCCTGATGAGACACAACATTTGGATGCTGTTTAAATGAAAACTAAGCAGTGCTGTAAGCATGAGACTAAATGAAACTGAACCAAAAAAAGAGCACAAAGGAATGTATTCACCTTCCTGAGAGATACGGAGGCATGATTTAGACAACTGACATATGGAAACTATGCTCTATTTTTATGAATAGTTAGAAAAGTAGCAATGCAAATTTAAATCCCCAATTTCTGCACTATTTCAAGGGAAGTTTAGACTCAGCTTTGTTTGTCACACATGATTTACCTCAAAGACATGTAGGGACAACTGGATTTAAAACGGCAAAATCTCAAGAAAAGATACTGCATAAGCTACAGAGACTTATCTGCAAACAACATATGGGAAACATCTGCCTATCACTTTATGGTATGGATTTTTTTTCCCCCTCAGAATCCTCTTAAGTACTTACACGTCTCAGGAGGATTGGTTTCTAGGGATTTCTTGAACAAAAATTTTCTTGTGTCTATTTACTTTAAATTTGGCTTTGTATACAGAAGAAATACACAGAAGGAATCAAATAAACAGAAGTGATTACACATATGTAGACCTTTCTTAAATGGTAGGACGTGTCTATATGTAAAGGACATTTAGATGTGAGAATTAAGGAAAGAAAGTCATCATTTTCAGAATATCAGTGACTAAATTTAATAGAAGGGTGATTCTGGATCAAACTGAATGATTATGGGAGATGATAAATAATGAGAATTGTTTTTCTCACATGCGGTTCATAGAATTGGTCTCCAGCAGATTTTGGACAGTACAAGAGTTCACAGAGTACAAGGTATTGGAAATATACTCAGAGTTTTCTTTTAAAAAAATGTTGTGTCCGTCCCAAAACATTGCTTTATTTTGTTTGTTTTCTATTTTAACCAAGAGTTTTCTTTAAAGGATCAGGAATTTTAAATGTAATGTACAGGGTACATTTGATCATAGAACTTAGTTATGGAGACGTCCTGATCAATCTCTAAAAAAGTTTGTGATAAATAGGACTGTCGTTGGAATTGAAGAGAGGAAACTGGTGTAAGGCTTTTTGGTACAATACTCACTGACTAAACGTCCTGAGAGCCCTGAAGGGGAAAACTCCAGATTAGTCATTGTCAGCTGACTTGAATTTCTATCAAATGATGCAAAAAAATAAATGCATAAAAACTTTTTTGAGGGGCACTTGGGTGGATCAGTCGGTTGAGCATCCAACTTCAACTCAAGTCATGATCTCCGTTTATGAGTTCGAGCCCCACATAGGGCTCACTGTTGTCAGGCTGCCAGGGAAGAGCCCACTTTGGATCCTCTGTCCCTCTCTCTCTGCCCCTCCCCCACTTGCACGCTCCCCAAAACAAATACATATTAATAAATTTTTTTAAAACCTTTTTTTTTGAGTTAGAAACTGATATAGGTATAGAAATCCTATCTATCCCATTTATAAACTAATATATTTTTAAATCATGGAATGTTTGAAGCCATTAGACAAATGTAGGCAATAATATAAAGAACAAGGGTGTGCACACCAACCATCTTTTCAAAACAACCTCGTGCCAGAATTGCTTCCTGTCACACTCCTATCTTTTTCTCTCCAGAGGCAACCACCATCCTAAAGTTGGTATTTATCATCTTCAGGAATGTTTCTACACTTTCGTTGTATGCGTATATGCACCAACGAGAATTTTACAGTGTTGTTTTTCATGCTTTAAAACTTTATATCAGTAAAATTCACACTGTATAAATCTCTTTGTAATAGCTAACTTTTTGTACATTCAACATTGTGTTGAAGTTTTGCTCCAAGGAGCTCTCCCACAGCTGTATGGTATTCTATTGTATATTCAATTTATTCATACACTCAATGGTTGAGAGACATTACTATGATTATTTTGAATATGATGATTATTATGATTAGCTTTTACCAACAACGTGGCAGTTTTTATACCTATTTCTTTGTGTATAAATGGGAGATCTTCGCTAGGGTACTGCTTCTGAGCTTAATGTGCTTAGAAATCACCCGAGTATCTTGTTAAACCATAGGTACTGATTCCGCAGGTTAAGGGTTTGGGCTTGAGAATCTGAATTTCTAACGAGCTCTCAGGTGATGCTGATGTCCCCTATACCCCATAATTAAGTGGCAAAGCAGTGGTTTTGTCCCTGGGAGTTAAGCTTCTAGATGTTTCAAAATTTCTTTGCAATGTGGTTGTATTAGTTTTCTATTGCTGTCATGAGAAATTGCCAAAAGCTTAGTGGGCCAAAACAACACAAATTTATTATTTTATATTTCTATAGTTCAAAAGTCTGACATGAGTCTCACTGGGCTAAAATCCAGGCATTGGAAGGGTCAGGTTCCTTCTTGGAGGTGGTAGAAGAGAATTTATTTCCTCGGCTTCTTTAGTTTCTGGAAACCGTCAGCATTCCTTAGAGTTCCCTTCCTCCATCTTCAAAATCAGCAACAGAGCAAGTCCTCTGACTCTGCTGCTATCATCATCAATCTCTTTCTCTGATTCTCCTTTCTGCCTCTCTCTTCCACTTTTAAGAATGCTTATGATTACACTGGCCCATGTGTATAATCTAGGATTATCTCCCTATTTTATGTAGCAACCTTAGTTCCATTTTCAATGCAGTGAAACATAACCTGTCCACAGGCTGTGGGGATTAAGACATGAACACTTGGGGGGCACCATCCTGCCTACTATCATGACTATAACAATTCACACACCCACCAGCGGCATGAGTGTTTCTGTTGCTCCATATCTTTGCCAACATTTGGTCTTGACAGACATCTGTTTTTGCCAGTCTGATGGAGTGTGAGATGGTACCTCATTTTTTTGTGTGTGTGCTTGTTTTCATTTTCATTTTCTTAATTGCTTGTGTGACTAAGTACCCTTTTAATAGGCTCACAGGTCATTTCCCCTCTTGTGATTTGACCATTCATATCCTTTGCCTATTTTCACTTGGGATGTTTATATTTTCCTCTTGATTTGTAGAAGGCATTTATTTATTCTGTATACTAGTTTTTTGTTGATTGCTTTTAAAGTTGCAATGTTAACGTAGTTGATTTTTAAAATTTCTTCATAGTTTGTATTTTTTTTGTTATTGAGATATCTTTCTCTACCCTAGGTTCATAAAAATTTTCTCCTAAAAGCATTATGATTTTGTCTCTCATATTTGTCTTTAATCCAGCTGGGACTTACTTTTGTACATGAGGAAGAGATTTTTATGTGTATATAAACAATTGCCCTAGCTCCATTTATCAAGTTGTCAGTTGTTTCCCTTCTGATTTTTAATACCTTTTTCATGCAGAAGGTTTCTCATATATCTGGGTCTGTTTCTGGATATTTATCATAGCGTCACCAATTATACTTTTTCTTAATTACAAAATGTTTATAATAAATCATTATATCTCATAGGACAAATTTCTTCATCTTCTACTTCAAATTCCTCTTGGCTCCTTTATATAAATTTTACCAGTTTGTCAACTTCCTCAAAAAACTAGATTGGCATTTTTTTCCCCACACTGAATGTACAGACTAATTTGGGATAATTGACATCTTTGTGAAAGCAAGTCTTCCCATTCAAGAACATGGCCTTCCATCCACGTAGGGTTTTAAAAAATGTCTTCAATGAAGTTTTGTGATATTAGTTGTGTTGTATGTATCTTTTATTAAATTGGTTCCCAGGTATCTCATTTTTGTTGTTGCTATTGTAAATAAATGGAAGCTTTAAAAAATGTTCTATCAATTGTCTGCTGGTATTAAGAAAACACTGATTTTTGTGTGTTCTTTCAGCCAGCAAAGCTTGCTCACTTCTCTTAATAATCTGTCTTCAGAGTCTCTTAGATTTGCTGTTTATAGGTAATCAACTCATAATAATTGATGACGGCTTTGTCTCTTTTCTCTGTTTTTATATCTTATGTTTCTTTTTTTTTGTCCTACTTTTACGGCTGAGACCTCTAATGCTCTATGAGTAGAACCAGTGTCTACGGATATCCTTTTGTTATTCCTGTTTTTAAAAGTTATGTTTCTAAGGATTCATTATTATGTACGTATATGTTTCTATCGATTTTGGCATTTCTGTTTTATCGGTTTAAGTTTCTGTTTTCTAGTTTGTACATAAATAACTGTTGAATTTTATTAAACGTTTTTCTGCATCTGTTGACACGATTACATGATTTCTCATTTAAATTGTTAATGTAATAAATTAATAGATAATTCTAATATTTACATGAGTCTTGCAGTCTTGGAATAAACACAACTTGGTTATAATGTATTTTTATGCTTATATTGTTGAGTATGTTTGGCTAATATTTTATTTAGAGCTTTTGCATTTATGTTCTTGAATGAGACTGGCCTTCCTTTCTTGTACTGTCCTTGTCTCTTTTTAGTATCCTAGTTACTAAAGTTATAGAAAGTTATAGAAAGAATGTAGCGCTTTCCTGCATACTCTATTCTCAGAAGCAGTTTGTGTAAGATGAGGATTATATGTCCCTTGAATGTTTGGTAGAACTTGCTTAGCAAACTTTCTGAGCAATGTTCTATATATTTCATTTTATATAGAACTTTTTATAGTTTAGGTTTCTTTATCCTTTAGCAGCGTTTTTGTAATTTGATCAGTTATCACAGAAGTGGACATAGTTATGAAAGACTTCTATTAAAATCTCTATAATTGTAGATTTTTCAGTTTCTCATTATTTTGTCAGTCTTCAGCATATATTTTTTGAAACTATGTTACTAAATAATTCTGAGATATCTTCCTGGTAAAGTGTTTATCATACTTTATTCTCTTTCCCTTAAAGTCTATTTTTGATTGATATTAATATAACTATTCTAGCTTTTTTGAATTGTACCTGTTTCATACATTCTCCCCTTGGCCTTGTAAAATTTTTACTTTGAACATTTCTAGGTTCTTATGTTTTATGTGTGGTTCTTGTAGATGACACATAGCTGAGGATTTTAAAAATATTCTTACTTATGTCTCTTAATTGGAAAGTTTGTTTTATTAATATTTATGATGATTATTGGTACACTTGGATTTATTTTTACAACACTGTGTTGTGTTTTGTTATTCATCTTGCTTTGTCTATGCCTTTTTCCATTCTTTACTGCTTTCTATTGAACAAGTTTTGTTCAATTCTTTCTATTCCTTCTATTTGAACATTCTATTTCCTTTTGGTTCTCATGGCTGTCTTTAAAAGATACATTCTGGAACTAACAAAACAAAATTAATTTCTCTATCATCTTCCTGAACAATGAAATGACTTTAGAATACTTTATTGAACTTAAAGAGTATATTTTGGATGATTTTCTTAGATTTTTCTTCCAATTCTTTAATATTCTCTTCAGCTTTGCCTATTAGTCATTTAACCCATTCCTTGAGGTTTTTAAATTTTCAATTAAATTTTTTTTTTATTTCTAGAAATTACATATGGTCCTTAAAAAAAAATCTGCCTAGTCTTTTTCTTTTGACAATGTCTTTTCTTTGTTCATGTTTCCAACTCCTTGTGGATCTAAAATAATTTCAATTTTTTTTTTTAACATTTACTTATTGTTGAGAGACAGAGAGAGACAGAGCATGAGCAGGGGAGGGGCAGAGAGAGAGAGAGAGAAACAGAATCTGAAGCATGTTCCAGGCTTTGAGCTGTCAGCAGAGTCCAATGCAGGGCTCAAACCCATGAACCGCATGATCATGACCTGAGTCAAAGGCAGAAGCTTACCCGACTGAGCCACCCAGGTGCCCCAAGGATCTAAAATAACTTTAAACACACCTATTTTCTAGTTCCTAGGTGATATTTTAAATCAATGAAGTTTTTGGGAGAGGGGTGTTTAATCCTTTTTTTTGTTTCTGCTGATTCTCATTTGTTGCGGATTGTTTCCTCATATGTTTAAATATTTTTATTGTGAACTTGTTTTTACTGTGGCAGATAGTACACACTGAATCTTGCACATGTGTGAGGGCAGACCAAAAGTCACAAACTTTTAGGGACTTTGCAAAGTTCAGTTAAAGAGAGACATGCTTACTTCTCACTTATTTCGTGTAGGACAGAGAATGGGGCTATATCCACTGAAATCCAATATACAACTCTCTGAGGGTCTGGCTTTAGGTGAGGGTCTCACTCCTAACTCCCCACTCCGGCCTAAGCTTTGCTCCCACATGGTCATTAATACTTGGTTGCTGCAGAACTGATAACCCTTCCCTCCCCTTACCTCCCTCCAGGGGGGGCCTTAGCATCAGCTCTTGGGCTTACACATTTGGTTGTGGTTCCCCCCTTTACCTTTGGCCCCTGGATATTTCCCTAACTTTATTGGTAGTCCATTTGTACATTTAATGTTATTATAATGTAAATGCATTTCTAGGCGTTTCGTACAGTAGTTTTCAGCTTATATAGACCTTCATTATTTCCACAGAAGCAGGAATCCCTAAATTTACTTTAAAAACATGAACTTTGGGGCGCCTGGGTGGCGCAGTCGGTTAAGCGTCCGACTTCAGCCAGGTCACGATCTCGCGGTCCCTGAGTTCGAGCCCCGCGTCGGGCTCTGGGCTGATGGCTCAGAGCCTGGAGCCTGTTTCCGATTCTGTGTCTCCCTCTCTCTCTGCCCCTCCCCCGTTCATGCTCTGTCTCTCTCTGTCCCAAAAATAAATAAACGTTGGAAAAAAAAAAAAATGAACTTTGACTCTAAACCTAGTGAAATCATACCATTTCCGCATAATATTGGTTTATGAAAAGAAACATTCCTAAAATCATCTAATTCTTCTCCCCCCAGCTCCTTCTTAATTCAGATTTATCGCTTTTGCTTTGTTGTTTGTCATTTTAAAAGTATGTTTATAAAAGCATAGTTGCAACTCCAGAAGGCTTAAAGATGGAATAACTCAGAATGGACTTGGCTTCTAGGGCCATCAAAACCCTTACCAAGTTGGTTTATCTCAGAATCACAGAGTAATTTTCACAACTCAGACCTATAAAACTGTGTACAAAGGATAAGTGGGAAAGTTTTCTATACATAAAGGGCTGTGAAACTGTAAAAGCGCCACACGAAATGCTGGAATGATGATCTTGCTTTCATGCCTCTATGCCTGCTGACTTACTTCCCCCCC